ACAAAGTAACAGAATTGGGCAAAAACTCGGAAAAATAATATACACAACCGGACAAACACCGGTTCCAAGGACAAGAACTGATCAACCAACAGAGGAGATTCGGACATATCTTAATGCACGTAAAAATGTGTTCCATTCAACTAATGTGCAACGATGAAAGGCATATCAAACTGCACACCCACCCATGTCCAATTAAAGCGCTGCAATGCCAGTAATAACGAGTGTCGTTGCAATGCAAAGTATCACAAAAGCATCTCACATTTAGTAATCACTCTCAGCTTCAGCAGCTTCGAATGAAAATACCTCAGATCCTCTGTAGTATCGTCATACAGCATCAGCACAGTGCAGCGCTCTGGTTACCAGCCATAAGTTGACTTTTACAAGTTCAGGTGTGAAGAGTCCTCTACCAAGCGCTACCTTTCACAAAATACCAGCAACGATTCCGATCTATTCGCCCACGTGTCAACGTGTCGTCATCACATTCTACTTGTAGGACGACTAGTCAGGCAGGCTCCCTAAAGATTAGGAGGGCTGATGAAATCCGCGTCCTCACCACACTTCCCATCATCAGGGCCAGGAGATGATTTACGCATCAATTATAAAAATAAGAGATGGTGAAAATGGACGAATCATCACAGGTAGTCCACCTTCTTCAAAACCTCAAGTGCTACTCAGAAAATACAAGTGATAATATCCCAATCGTGCACCTACACCCTCATTTAATTACGCAAACACAGGATAAACCTCTCGCCATCCTCCAACACTGTTCTCAAAGCAACCGAATGCGGCGACTTTGCAACTTAAAACGAAGTAAAAGGTAACGTTCCATCACCGAAATGCATGCCAAGTTGAGGTTGCTCCCGACAGCCTAATGCATAGCAGCCTATTACGGCTCTTCGGCTGCACAGTTTTAAACGTCTCGGAAGACATTCTTTCGTTTCTCTAGGGTCAAATAGGCAAGTCAAAAACACTAACTCCAGTCGAGGATGAACCTAAGTCCGGGTGATTCCCTACGTCCAACCTCATGGGCAGCATTAAAAGAAGAAAACCAAGGAGCACTATGGTTTAAGTGACACTTAAGTGCATCCTGCTTAAACATTCAATACACTTTCACATTTAAACAATCAAAGTATTTTGCAGCCCCCAAACTAACGTCTATTAGGATTAGAGGATTCAGGTAAATGCGGGGCCTTGACACTGGGTAATATTCCTGCTTCAGCATTTACTGTACTAAGAGCACAAAGAACGGAGACAGGTACGCACATATACATATGAATATGATGAATCCTTACTAGTAACTAACAAATTAAAACCCAGTACTCATGACATGCAAAACATATTCTCTAGAGAGGTCCAAATCTGCAGTTGTTAAACCAACAAACCATTTATTAATAATCGTTGATAATCGTGGTTATGAAATTGTATGCACAGCACAACTCACAAAGATAATTGGAGCTTTTTCTTCGGTGTTTATCCTGACATGGAAGCGCTGACCGAAAATGAGTAGACAAGTATGTGTGCAAAAAACATGCAGAATAAGCAAGTTGAATTTACTCTCCACCAACTGAACCTCCGAGTTCGAAACATAACTTCATTGCAAAAAAAGTTGCAAGCCATATTATTTATTCCTCGAAAATACAGTGCAACAAAGAGCAAACATGACTCGATCAAACATTAGGAAATTAAATGTATTTCCAGTAATGTTCTTTATACTTAGATTACGTTGGCAAAGAATGTGAAGTTAGGGCGAATAGGTAATTGTGACAACTCACTGATAAGGTGTCAATGGACATCCACTACGCTGTTGGCGAATTTCCAGAGAATGTCCACAGATTAAGCCAATTTACGTGTACATTAACTGCCGGGGATAAACGCACGCCAAGGACACATTTATTACGAAACCAATTGATTTATAGAAGTGTGCAGAAAACAAGCGCTAATAAGTTGCGTACAAAAATACAATTTTTATCTTCTTGGCGATATAAATGCGTCCACAATGCCAAAAATGTGCAATCATATGTAGATCTATAAGAAACTGTTAAGACTGAAATAGCAACCTAGTTTTTCATTGTACTAATTGTGGGGACCTGAGACTTCCCACAAAGTAGAGGAGGATACTAAGTGGGAATGAATAAATGCTTTCCTGGGGGAGAAAAGAATCAAGTCTGGGCTTGTACTGAGGGTCAGTCCACGAGTACGGAGGCAAGACTGCAGCACCTCGAGACTTCCCATAGGGTGGAAGAAGGCAGAAAGTGAAGCTAGATGCATGTACTCGAAAGAGGACTAAGCAACTAAGCCCGAGTGTTGCCCGAGTGCCAGCCCACGAGTAGAAGGGCCAGACAAATCATAAAATGACTGTCAAACTTTAGGTAGTCACATAAACAAAGCATTACAAAGACAAATGCCAAAGTAACCGCCAGATATCATGTGGCCACATAGAAACGTTATTATACTAATGACGACTTTGTGCAGCAGAGTAGAGTAGCTTGGGACTTCCTTGTGGGAGTGACTTTGATGGCTTCGTAGTCAGGCCACATAGCAAATGTAATGTTGACATAAGTGATCACAGCTGATGCCAAATCCGGCACTTTGCCCAACAAACTGCCTGTACGAGTGCTAGCAACTCTGGCAGCTACCACACTTATGCGGGATGAACTTGTAGTGCCTTGAAACTCCCCGCTGGGTGGAAGAAGGCATAAAGTTAAGTCGAGTGCTGGGTGCATAAGAAGAGATCACGCACGCAAGAGTAAAACTTGGATCATAGCAAACACTAGGCATGAAGGTGATCACATAAACAGGGACTGAGCATCATGTCGTGTGCGACATCACCTCTTCCTCTTTTATCTGAATGTGTATGTTCAACCAAGTACTGCGCCTTCAAATACGCCATATAACCATTAATACTAATGGGCAGATCATGGAACTTAAAAATCGCATGTAAAAATGAGATACTCCGAGGCTAAATTTTACATGGTAGTTAACGAAAGCTTTCGATTTTGCTGTCAATGGCCTGCCTGTGGAACAATTATGGCAATGACTGTAGTTTTTAGTCCATTATGGCGAAATCACAGGTGCTTCAGCATAAAGCACATTGTTTACCTCAAACAACGCAAACCGGTATAAAGTTGACTCAACGTGGAACCTGATTTCTGATTCTACCACTGTTGCATACAACATAAGACATTACACATTGATGGAATATCGGTAATCACTCGGAGAAAAGGAGAATGAAGCCCTTCAAATTACTCGAAGGGCAGCCAAATCCGTAAATGATGTATGAAACCGTTCTAGCAGTAAAATAAACAACCTACAACATGGAAACCGAAAAATTATTGCTCATACATTGACTAATTTGGTTTGGTCTGTTATAGCAAGCGAAAAACGTGTACTTTTTGAGGAAATTGATGTCCTTTGGCCGTGTTTCCCCGATTCTGTAAATGTCATACCTCGCTGTAGTTGAAGCACCAACCCTTGCTTAACGGAAGGAGGTGGAGGTGCACTGACACTGGCTTAGAAGCGGAAGACGGAAGCTACTCGACTGATCGCAGTTGATTTCGTGAGACGGTTCACTTGTGCATTGCGATGCCGTTTCGATCATGTGGGCGCCCTCTACATTCCCAAATTCGACTCTCGCTCTCTGTTTTTTGTAGATCGGATGGACTACTAAAGAAGGGTATCCATAATCTTGAATGGAAACTCATTTGCTGTTGCAATGGGGGTGAACGCTAGTCCGAAAACCAACTCACTGTCAGCATGGTAATTGTTTTTAAATGCATTCAATTTTGCCTTATTTTTTTTTCGGAAAGGAGATGGAAATATCTGTAGTATAAATCATTTGCAATTGGCGGAATCATTAAGAATTAACCATGCGGCTGGTAGGGCGTGATGATGGGCGTCCCCGTCCGAATGAATTCTGATAGTTGGTGATGTGGGAAGGAATGCTTCTACAGATGCTCTCCCAGGCGTTGCCTTTAGCTTTACATGGTAGGCAAAAAAAAGAGCTCACGACCTCCCATTTGATTAACTTCCTCCTCCCACTTCATCACCCCGAGCGACTCAAGTATAGAAGAAATAAGGAGCTTCCACATTTGTGGCCAGGCACCTCTTTGGGCGGCCATTACTTGGCCAGTCAAGTTGAGCAATGGAAGGTAGCAGCATGTCGGCGCGATGAAAAGTCATCATCATCCAAACCTCCGAGTAACTGTCAAACTGCAATACTGCCTGTATGGAAATCACTAGAGAAGTGGAAGAGATGATAATGCGAAGCATGAAATAGACGTACTTTTTTGATGTCGCCTTACATACACTTGGCACACTTTGAGGGTTATAAAATGGAGGATAAAAATTCAAAATGCTAATCACTGATCAATGAGACAACATCTCACAGTTCGTCTGTGTCAAAGTATGTCAAATATTCCAGCTTCATACGACTATTATGCCGTTGCTCATAGTATTAGCAAATTCTACTCATAAGATATAAGTAACATCGCAAGACCAAGGAATTTTGACCATTCGGCGTTGAGATGGAAGACCACGCACCGGGGCGTAGTAGCCAAGCCCACATAACATTTAAACCCATTACAAATGTTTTGTCACTCCAGATGAAAACAAGTCACCGAAAATCACGAAGTCGGCTATGTACTTCGAAACGTCGCGTGAGGAAATTTCAATTGTACCACCAAGTCTGGTTTTGCCCTCTTCACCACCGTAATTCTAATTTAGGCATTAAACGATGGAACCGCCCTAAAAGTAGAATTCGCTCGGGAGAACACAGTTTTAATATCCTCACTATGGTTGCTGGAATCAAGCTAACCAATTCGGGGCCACATGAGGGACGGCAACGAGACTGCGTTTTGTTGATTTAGCCACCACGTCCGCGTTTCCTAACCCATTCTGCGATAAATCAAATGATTAAGGCAACAAAGCACAAAATATCTTGATATGAAATCAAGTGCTAATCTCATTTTCTACAGACTTCATGCAAAAAAAGCTGGTTGTGTCTACTCGCTAAAAGTTTGGGCTATCCACCTCAGGTAGCGCTTGTAAAGCAGAGAGGTCCAAGATCCAGAATACCTCCGTGGTTCAGGCACTTGTGTGTACACCTTGAGTTGTCTATCGGTCAGATCGAGTAGACATGGATCCACATGAGCCTCAGCATCAAATTCTTCCACCTCCTTCATGTCTTTCCCCAGATCAGCAAAGATACCCACTAAATTCCGTCTAAAATTTTGACATAGATACAACAACGACGCACCTGTAATCCCACAATGCATCATTCTCTGGCACCGCCTGGATATTTGAGTGTGTTTGCTTCATCTCGTGGAGTAAGAGTCTTGTCAAATTACTGGAATCACCCAACTCTTGATATAAACGAAACAAATGTGATCGATAACTCCATCCGCTGATATCCACTGGGTGAGCCAAATTCCATGCATTCATACGCTCTAGTTCTGAATGGAAAAGCTGTAACTCGACGGTTTTGCATAAGTTGAACGGATTCGTTTAGGTAGATAAGAAAGATATTGCATTAAAGCAATAACCTGAGTGGAAAATTCACGCCTCTGAAGAAGCCACCGGCGATGTTGCCAAACCATGTAATTACAGCGATGCTTGTCTCCAAGGGCTTCGCATAAATCAATTTCTTCGCGAGCCAATGACTCAAACTCCTCGTTAGAAAGACGTTCCAGAATCCAGTGCCTGAAAATGTACGTAGAAAAGTCGCAAGAAGCTTACCTGTGCTGGAGTGGCTCTGTTGCCCTTGGAAAACGATTAAGAACTAATCGGGTAAAAGAAAGCTCATCCGAAGGGGTTGCTTGACCGTTCAATAAAAGTTCCTTTCTACGATGCCAAAGGGTTGTACAAGAAGGTATGAAAAGAAGGAGGACATTAAGGTTTGCTACAACAGAAACGAAATGCCGAATAAAACTCAGTTATACCAATGGAGGGAGGATCTTGTGATTTCAGCGAACTTTGGTAGATGGAAAGCCAAAGACTTTGGCGAGGAAGGCAATCACAAAGGGCAAAGCTATGGTCAACTTCAAGAATTTCCTTATGATCGGGACCATCAATATGGGGTATCAAGTCATATTCCTTCCTGAAAAACGTGTGAGTTTGGATAAAATGATACGTTGGAATGGTAATCCACGATCAAATCTCCTCACTTTAGCTTTGAGAGGATGAAGATTCGAGAAATTAGTTCACTATTTTCGGCTGACATTGAACTACGCAACCAAAAGGTGGACTTGATAAAGGGGCTTAAGCATATAGGTCTCTCAGAATACTGTTGTCAAAATAAATAATCCAATGAAGATTACGCTAGTTACAAAAATATTCTAGGGGCTTGAAAACAAATATTGCAACCAAACTTTTCGAGCGTGATAATCCAACCGACAGCCCGAAAGAATTAAAAATTCGCAATAACTTTCACAATACCCAAAACATTGTACAGCCGATTATTTTGATTCTTAAAGTCTGCGTTTATAAAATTAAATTCTGTTAAGTTTTAACAATGTTTGGTTAAAAATCCAAATTAAATTCATGATAAGGTGGTTGTTTACAGCATAAATTATGGGTATAATTCCTAAAGTAATATTCACCTAAAAGGTTAAAAAGTCATAAAATTTTTTATTCTGAGTATGTGGTCAGTAAGTGCAG